AATACTGTATTCAAGCAGAGTTCTTATTCCAACTGATCTATATTTTGAGTTTTATGGTAAATGTTAAGTTAAGAACGTAATTAAACTAAATTGTATTCGTAAGTAATACATGTTAATGATCAGATATTACAAACGCAGTTAGGATACAAATAATCACGTAATAGATAATGGTATGTTCAGGTTTACAAATATGGGGTTTACTACTATATTTATTACAATACTACTCCTCTTTGGAAAAAAAGATTTGAAGAAGGGTTTTAAGATAAGATGAACATTTGAAAGAAACGTAAATGTTTGAATAATGGTTAGAAGGAAAGGAGTATTGATGAATAGAAAGGCAAAGATTTGAAGAAGAGGCTAAAGGAAAGGAGAAGTTTGAAGGAAAGGCGAAGGTTCGAAGAAGGGTTTATAGGAAAACAGTGGATGAATGGGAAGGAGAAGGGATGAATGGGAACGATAAAGTATGAATGGGATAGAGAAGGGATGAATGGGAAGTAGATGGGATGAATGGAAAGGAGAAAGGATGGGAAGGAGAAGGGATTAATGCAATTGTAAGAAACAAAGAGTTTGGGAGGAAAGGCAAGAGGGAGAGGAAGAGGAAGAATGGAAGCGGGACTATGGCACGTGATAACCCCCTGTTTGTTCTCATAATATGTAATAACGAGATAATAATTATACGAGATATAGACGAGTTACGAGTTACGGGGGATATAATAATAAACAGACAAAAATAGATTTAGATAATGGGGGATCCCAATTAAATTGTATCCTGTTTATTGTATCCTGTTTTGTGTATCCTGTAGTCTGTATTCTGTACCGAGTATTCAAAATCTGGGGCTACCCCTGTTCCATTTACCCTGTATCCTGTACCGTGAACACTATATGTAATGCTACCCGTTATCCTATATCCTGTATTCTGCATTCTATATCCTGTATCTAGTACTGCCCTGTATCCTGTATCCCGTAATCTATATCTAGTACTACCCTGTATTCTGTATCTAGGGCTACCTTGTATCCTGTGTTCTATATCCTGTATCTAGTGCTACCCTGTATCCTGTATCCTGTATCTAGGGCTACCCTGTATCCTGTGTTCAATAGCATATATCTAGCGCTACCCATTATCCTATATCCTGTATCTAGTGCAACCCTATAACCTATTTGCTGTATCTTGTATCTAATGCACGGTTCTGTCAAGATTCCAGAAATCTGTGACTTTCGATCACAATTCACAAAAATCACGATCACGATCACAAAAATACTTTTTTGTCGGCATATGCATTTTTAATGAAAATGTTAAAAATATACAAATCCGTAAAATAAAAGATTATTGAATTAAAGACTAAAACACGTTTGATTTCAAATAGAATAAACCGAATGCTGCTTACTCTGGTTAATCCGGTGTGAATGCTATCCTGTATCCTGTGTTCTGTAGCCTGTATCTAGTGAATCCCTGTATCCTATGTCCTGTATCTTGTGCTCCCCCGTATCCTATGTATCCTGTATCTAGTGCTACCCTGTATCCTGTATCCTATATCTAGTACTCCCCTGTATCCTGTATCTGTTGATACATGACAAGATATCCAGATCTGAGAATTACCAACTGTTAATATATTTGTTATCTTCAGAGTAAACAAGAAGACCAGATTGGGTGTTGTCAGGTTTGTTTGTTTTCCACTTTTTTTGCAGAAATTTGATATTTTATCAAGATGTCTTTTCTGAGGGGGGGAGGGGAGGAAGGTGGATTCTCAAATTTGTTATGTTTTTGGCAAGAATCAATGTATCTATCTATGTATATCTATAAATTTATCCTTCTATTTGTCTATCTATCTATCTATCTATTCTTATCTATCCTATGCGTAAACTTGTAAAGTTTTCTTAAAGGGGCTGTGTAGACGTAATTTCAAGTAAAGGGGCTGTGTAGACCTAATTTCAAGTAACCCTCAAGTTAAAATGTTCTATTCCCAATTTTCAACGGAGCCATTTATATTTTTGTATCATCAACAAATTGAAAGATATTTGTTTTTCTTTAAGACAAATTTTTAGTTACGTTCTAATTGTCCCAACTGCATAAAATTCACATTTAGAAACCACAATTAGATACTTTTAATTATTTCATGTAAAAATTTAATATTTTTTGCTGAGAAATTTTTTTCCTTTCTTAACCCTACGTTACTTCTTATCCTATTCCTACCTATCCTTTTCCCTTCCTATCCCTACGTTACATCCTATCCTTTCCCCTTCCTATCCTAGCGTTACTTCCTATCCTCTTCTCTTCCTTTCCAATTCCTTCCTATCCTTTTCCCTTCCTATCCTACCGTTTCTTCCTATCCTCTTCCCTTCCTTTCCAACGTTCCCAGGCGCGGATACAGGGGGGGGGGGTTAAGGGGTCGAAGACCCCCTTTTTGAAAAAAAGAGGTTAAAGAGAATCTTTTGACCCCCCCCCCTTTCTAGAGACTAACTTAAAAGTTTACTGTAGATTTTAAGTTTTAACCAACACTGTAAGTAATTGAACATGATTCTTTCCTATCTTAAGTTATCACGATTTCAGCATGGAACACATTATAGTTTTTAGTAACATTACCGCGGCACCAAAACGAAATTTTGCAACATTTTCCAGAGACTTTACAGAAGAAAAATTGTATTCTTCTGTGAATTCTTATTGGCATGTTTTAAAAATGAAATGAATACAAAAGTCAGAAATGGATCTCTGAAATGAGTTGTAATAATAAAAAATTTATTGATTTATTTTGGTAAGAAATGCATTTTCAAATTCCAAGAAGAATAATATGCTATTTTGAGCACTTAAAATAGTCTATTGTAAACACAGAGTTGGTATAGAGTAGAGTAGTCAGAACACATAGTTCGTTGTAAACACAGAGTTGGTATAGAGTAAGTTGTCAGACCACAATGTTCATTGAAAACACAGAGTTGGTATAGAGTAGAGTAGTCAGAACACATAGATTATAGTAACACAGAGTTGGTATTTAGTAGAGTTGTCAGAACACAATATTAATTGAAACACAGAGTTGGTATAGAGTAGAGTTGTCAGAACACATAGATTTTAGTAACATAGAGTTGGTATAGAGTAGAGTTGTCAGAACACAATGTTAATTGAAACACAGAGTTGGTATAGAGTAGAGTAGTCAGAACACATAAATTATAGTAACACAGAGTTGGTATAGAGTAGAGTTGTCAGAACACATGGTAGAGTAGTCAGAACACATAGTTCATTGGAAACAAGAGTTGGTTTAGAGTAGAGTAGTCAGAACTATGCATTGGCACTAAGCAACCCGATCTTTTCTTTGCTTTAAATATTTAATTTTTTTCTTCAGAAAAATGCCAAATATTACAATATCTAATTCAAGTTTGCTTTTATCAAATTATGCACTATTTTGACTCAGGCAGAGGAAATGAGGTCTAAATGTAACAATTTTAATTGAAATAACGTGTGCAGTCCCTTTAATTGAAAGAACGTGTACAGTCCCTTTAATTGAAATAACGTGTACAGTCCCTTTTATTGAAATAGCGTGTACAGTCCCTTTGGTTGAAATAATGTGTACAGTCCCTTTAATTGAAATAGCGAGTACAGTCCTTTTAATTGAAATAATGTGTACAATCCCTTTAATTGAAATAACGTGTCCAGTCCCTTTAATTGAAATAACGTGTACAGTCCCTTTAGTTGAAATAGCGTGTACAGTCCCTTTAAGTGAAATAATGTGTACAGTCCCTTTAATTGAAATAATGTGTACAGCCCTTTTATATGAAATAATGTGTACAGTCCCTTTAATTGAAATAATGTGTCCCTTTAAATGAAATAATGTGTAAAGTCCCTTAAGTTGAAATAATGTGTACAGTCCCTTTAATTAAAATAACGTTTACAGTCCCTTTAATTGAAATAACGAGAACAGTCCCTTTAACTGAAATAACGTGTACAGTCCCTTTAATTGAAATAACGTGTACAGTCCCTTTAATTGGAATAATGTGTTCCTTTATATGAAACAATGTGTACAGTCCCTTTAATTGAAATAATGTGTACAGTCCCTTTAATTGAAATAACGTGTACAGTCCCTTTAATTGAAATAACGTGTACAGTCTCTTTAATTGAAATAACGTGTACAGTCCCTTTAATGGAAATAATGTGTACAGTCCCTTTAATTGAAATAATGTGTACAGTCCCTTTAATTGAAATAATGTGTACAGTCCCTTTAATTGAAATAATGTGTACAGTCCCTTTAATTGAAAGAACGTTTAAAGTCCCTTTAATTGAAATAATGTGTACAGTCCCTTTAATTGAAATAATGTGTACAGTCCCTTTAATTAAAATAATGTGTACAGTCCCTTTAATTGAAATAATGTGTACAGTCTCTTTAATATATTCGATGAACACATGTTGAATGTACAGAGCGTCCCATATCATATTAGATTATCTCCAATCTTTAACGCCAAAATACTCACATAATACTAGAAATTATTAAATTTTTCAAAATGATTCATTCTTCTTAAATTTTCTGATTTGTCGCCAATTCGTATTTTAGACCCATTGACGCGGTCTAATTTTATGTGGGACACCCTGTATAAAAGTACAAAGGTAGAGGGTGTCCCACGAAATATGACAGTTGGTGAATAATTTAAAATGTCTTCTTACATAATTTTTTAAGCTGTTTGATACCAAAGACAATAATACAAATATTTTTTGATAGTCATGTATTAGTAAAATTGGTTTTAAAGTAAAATATGCTACAGAAAAGGAATTTTTTTATTGAAATAAACTGCACAAAGCCTTTAATATCTAATAAAGTATATGAAAGACGACTTTCATAACTATTTACCAGATGTCATGTTTCGTGGGACACCATGTATGTAACAGGCAAGTGTAATTGTAAAGTTTGACTGAATCGTTAAAACTTCGTTCTCTAGTTTATTTTTTATTTTTATTAAGATTGAATTATCTATTAGATACTTAATATTATAAATCAATTAATCAATTATAGTTACGATGACAAAATTGATGATTTAGAACTAGAATTAATTTTTCTTTGGTTTGTACACAATGGGAGTTAATAGTTTTTGGAGGAACGCAGAGTTGGTTTACACTTTACATTCCTTCCAGAAATTTCAGTACACTTTTTTGTAAACAAAAATATGTTTCGTTTTGAATAGGTAATAATTTGATAAGGAGACATAAATATGTGAAGCTTTTTTAGGAATAAAATTATACTTGGCATCTTTAAAAGCTAGGCCATGAATTACATAAGATTATGTGGTTGTGAATCTATTTTGCAAATTCCAAAGTGAGTGTGTTGTCTTTTTTCCACAGAAATTTTCTCCTACGATTATATTTGATTATTTTTAAAGCATGTGTTAGTAAATGTGGCTAAAAATATTCTTTTTTAAATCAATTTATATATAAAGTTATTTTACACTTTAGAGATACCTGTTGATTTATGATAAGAGTTAATTATGTACTAATTAAAGCAAGGAGCAACATAAAACTGGTTGAGAGAGCTTACATACATATCACTTTTTAATTAATATATATCATATATATACACAGAATCACTTTATCAAAAATTTCGATAATTCAAAAGTTTAGAAAACTGAGTTTGAATTTTCTACCATTGGGTACATAGACTGCTGTTGCTGTTGGGTCAAGTCATGTGACCCGTAAACCTTCTGACTTTCAGAGCCAAATAACCGGGCCGAATGTTCCTGCGCTTTGGCGCGTAATGCCGCAATGCTATTTGAACGAAAATCGTCTTTATCTTCTATATTTGGTTTGGTGTCCACATTGTCGTCCGACTCGTCTCCGCTAGACTCGTCTGTTTGACGGATTCCGTCCTTTTTGTCGCGTAGAATTTCATTAGATAGAGTATGGGCTGCTTCCATTGACTTGCGGTGCATACCTAAAAAACACACTATTTAAAAAAATGATAAAATCTAAATGAATTGTGAGCATAAAACACTGTGTACAATTACAATCCCTCCTCCCAGTATTGTGCGGAAGGGCGTATAGCGGGGGGGGCAAGGGGGCAGTGCCCCCATAGACCTGTAAATCAGAACTATCACAGTTTAAAATCTGAAGAACATAAAAAAAATAGTTTGCTTTTTTCTGCTAGTTTTGTTGGAAGGAGAGATAAAGTAGTACTTGTTAGGTAATTGGACTGTATGTGGCTATGTGCACCTTTAAAGTATCCAAGAAGCCAAATGTTTTGAATTTACAGTTCAAATTTTTTGCACTTTGCGCAAATTTCTTTTGTTTTACACT